CCGGGCTGTGACCGGCTCACGTATTTGTAAAATCTAAGTGACTCGTACAACATGGAACGTATTTGTAAAATCTAAGTGACTCGTACAACATGGAATTCATATAAAACGGAATTATCAACAGTGTTATGGGGGTCGACTGTACTAAATCCTGTTTTGATGATGATAAACAATTTCATAATCTTCACGGTTTTATGTTATTTCTCAATTGTTGATATAACAAATTTTTATTTAATTTAAACAAATTTATAATTGATGTATCCAAACGTGATTTCAAAGCTATTTAATAAGTATTAAGAACTAGAATTTTTCACTTGGAATTATTCTCTATCGAGTGCGATTTAGACCGAAATGAAAAATCAGATCTTTTATCGAGCAATAAAAACTTCGAAAAAAACCCGATAAAATAAAATTGCGGCCTATATTTCTTGATATCGTGTTCGCTTCTCTATGGTTATTTTATGACAGTCAGTTTTTAAACACTAGCACAACGCAGAAATAAACTTTAATATATTGGCAACGATAATGAATAAAGATGTAACAATAAACGTAATGTTTGTGATCGTGATTTTGTAATCTGGGGGAAATTTTAGGAGAATAAAAAACTTGTTAGGGGATATTTAGGGGTAAAATATATATTTCTAGGGAGTGCTGTGACTTCGAAGTTGGCAATATATCAAACCCTATAGTGACGAAAGACGAATCTAGCAATTTGAGGTTTCTGATCAAGACTCCATGAGTTTTCCAAACCGGCAGCCTGACACCTTTAAACGCTTCGGTTATTCGGTGGTCAAAAACAATTATTAACTAGAAAATTCTACATTAAATAAATTTTATGAAGAAAGCGGGTCATTTTTTAAAAATAAATAAACATTTTCGAAAAGAATATTCAAATTTTCACTAAAAGTTGAAAAAGTAACGAGTTTAAAATTTGATCAATTGACGTGAAGTATGTCTGGCACTCGCGATGAAGTCCACCAATATGTATAATGAACGAGAAACGACGTCCCGACTCGACTAACCGTGATTAATCATTAGATTCTAAACTGGTTTCGGTGGTCCACACGATGATTTGGTGGATTAAAATTTAAAATTCTATTACGAAACACGCGCTTTGTGCACTGCAAAATGTCTGACACGGTTGAATTGAAATATCTTTCCAAAAATAACAAAGTTATAAAATATATTTTTGAACGAAACATATTTAAGTTAATTGGCATAATATTTTGGTTTAATTAATTTTGACGGCAGGAATTTTGTATAAATCGAATACATAGCTCATTACTGTTGGGGAGGCATTCAGAAGTCAAAGAAGTTATACTTCGATCTAGCTTTTGTAATTTTGATCTTAATGCTTTGTAAATATTATGGTTTTGAGACGAATTTCCAATCACGTAGCAACGAAATTCCAGTTTAATGTAGGTGTAAAAATAATATATATTTACCGACTGGCAAAAGCAAAATAAAAAAGTGAATCGGAAAAGTCAAATAAACAAATGTGTCGAGTGCAAGGCGGAGAAGCTTCCTATAATTAGATTTAGAAAATAATTCGATTGAAAAACCATTACATGAATTATTAAATATTGAAATTTAAAAAGATTCACTAATCTTCTCATATTTATAGAAATATTAAGGGATTATTCATTAATTATTTTCGAATCAATGTAATCAAATGTTAAAATGCTTACCTTTCGATGAACAGTTTGGACGATTTCACTTGAGAATGAGTTATTAATTGTTTCTTCTCTGAAAGTTTCGTTTGTGGGTACCACAAGAAATCTTAAAAAAATATTGGAAATGTTAAAGAAAAGAGCGAAAGACGTTTAGAAAGAAAAAGAACCTCACTTGATTTTCATGCTGAGAGATAAAGTGTTCAGAAGATCGGACAAAATTCCAAATAATTGCACTTCGTCGTTATCTCTTCGTACTTCCAACCAAGGAGGAAACTGCGGACAAACAAAATTACAATCAATTCGTAGCATAGATTATTGAGAAAGAACGGAAATCAACTTACGGAATCGGCGGCGACTCGAAGAGAACAAAAGCTACGGTTGAAAGTATTAAAGCAGGAAAATACTTTCTCCAAAACGCATTCGTTTTCATTTAACTTCATTAATATACCTTGGGTATTTTGATCTTTATTTTATTAAAATAGTCAACAAAGACTCTGCTTTAGTGCTCACTAATTCTGCCGATCTCTACGAAAATCGAGGAAAAGAAATTTGATGAATATTCTATAAATTATTATTCTTATTCCATTATTTCTTACAGGCAAATATCCACTAGAAACGGGGAGGATACAGAAACAAATAAATACAAACGGGCGTATTCCTGGGTGCTTATGGTTCTGCAATCAGTTTTGTTACTTAAAAATACAACCTCGCTTGTAATAAACTTCGTTCACTAAAATTTAAACTTTTATACTTTACATAAACTCTTGCGTATATATTAAACCAAACGCTATAAACAGTTTCTTTTGTAAATAAAGTTCATTCCAATAAGTCACTACCTTGGATTTCATTAGTTCGAAAGCTATGCAAATCTTAGAACCGCTTGGCAACACATTGCAATGAAGTTTGTTTAGAAAGGATTTTTGGATAATTTTCTGGAATTTCTCGTAATTTTTCTTATGTCACACACCATATAAAAGGCAAGTTACCTTTAGCTGTACGTATTAATGTTTGTGAAAAATGGCAAGAGGCAGAAGCACTCTTACATTTTTACACTTGGAATACGTGTCCTTTTCGTCTGTGTTGCTCTTTTTCAAATCCCCATGGACACTCCAGATTCCTTTATCAACAAATAGAAAAGTCATGACTTCTAACCTATTTTGCAAATATAAAATAAAACTAAAGGATGATATTTTCCCATTCTTCCACGCAACTTCGTTGTATGTTGACCAAAACTTGGCCTTAAAAGCCAGGAATGTTCCTTATTTTGAAGGCCAAATTAGCCCTGACTGCAACTAGAGCCATTTTGTGGGAGCACTGATCCAACGTTGAATAATAGTCTGAAGTTTCTTGCATAATGTGTTATGCCCTTTTTTTATAGCTTGTGCTTTCTCCATTTTGTATAGTCTGCGGGGACACTAACAAGAGGTAAGGAAGGCAGTATCGGAACCAATCAGGAAAATTATTATCCAGAAGAATAAAGAAAGAAAGAGTCCCTCATTGCAGTATCGCGCTGGGTATGCAGATATCTCAGCCTACAGTCTCGAAAACCATAAAATGTTTTCTAGAAAGAAAAAACACTCGTTCGGGTAAAGGTTTAGGAAGAAAACTACCTCTCGGTGCCGTCTTTAGAACGTAAGGGGTCCTGGGCCAGGACCAAGATGGGGCCCCCTTAATGAAACAGAAACAATAGTATATTACAGACTTAGGGATGCATTATTTGTTTCCTCCCGTGGAGTATATATTAGAGTATATACGATTTTTTACCTCCCTCGGCCAGGAAGTGGAATTTTCTTTCCGCGCAGCAGGAAGAAAGTACCGTTTTCGGCCGAGGTGTGGTGAATAAGCATAAAAAATTTTGTAAGTTTGCTTAGTTTTAAGATAATTTTTAACTACGTGTGGGAGAAATAAAGTATTTGATATTTTTAATAATTTGTTTATTTTAATTAACCTATTTTTTATTTGTAACTCTATTACTTTCGAATTAGGGGCCCCCTACGGCCTGGGGGCTCTGCCCTAAAGACGGCACTGCTACCTCTCAGTTCAAAACAACTACGGTCCTTTCGACGCTATATTTCCCAAAACAGTCAAGTTTCCATAGAAGATTTCACAATGTGAGCAAGAGAATACTTTAATATCCCATTATCTGAATGCACAGTGTGGAGATATATCCGACGACGTAAATACAACTACAAATTCAAGGAAAACTCATATGATAAATGATATGATTTGATCTCTAAATACTGATAGTCGGCTCGGGTTCGTACTTAGGCCGACGATCTGGCTCATGAAGTTTTCCGGATTTTCTTTACGTCAATAATGCCCGAATGGTTTCACTTAAAAGACCTCCCGGAAGGCACACACCAGGGCAGATTTAGATAGTGGCACGCAACACCAGGGCAGATCGCCCTGGTGTTGCGTGCCACTATCTAAAACCAATCAATACACTCGCATTGAGAAAATCATTTGATTTTTGAGTGGCATGTATGCTACTTAGTTTTAATGTTTTCCCATAGCATACGAGATGCTCAAAAAAACAGTAATAAAATATAAAGGTTAAGATAGTTTTACCAATGCAAAGCCAGTCAGGTATTGCGATGTTTCGTAATTTTTACTTGGGCAATAGCAAAAATATATCGAGCCTGGCGTTCGTTATATAGAGTATAGTTCTCTAGGCGATATGAATGTATTCGTTTAAATCAATAAAAGCTATTTACATAAACAAACCTCACTAAACCAGATAAATTTGTAAACCTCAACAATTACTGGATTACGTTGTAACTGGCAACGCATCCGCACGGCAAGCGGGAGTTGCGGGTTCTAATTCCGCTCCAGGCCGATTATTTTCTTCCAGAATTATTCTAAATTATTTAATAAATATTAATTTAATTATAATTATTAAATTTAATAAGAGATGGAGCCTAATAATTTCTTCTAGTGACAAATTATTTAGTAATTAATTAAATATAATCGTGAAAAAGTAGTTCGATGTAATCAGGTAGTTGTTTGGCTTTAAAAACTGTTTTCCGAAAGTTGAGAAATTTCTCTAGATATTAATCAAAAAATACTTTTCATACCTTCACATATTACTAATACTAAAATTCAAGGGCAAAGTTGAAAGAATTTTACCGAGTTCGATTACACAACACTGGTAGAAACAGCAGAGGGTGAGCAATTTGAAGTTTGAAATGGGCACGATTCAAGCTCCGAATGAGGGGTTTATCGATCTCCAAATTGAAGACTCTCCTTGTACGAGCATAGGAACCAAGCCGCTATATGTAATCTTTCGCGAGATATTCCCCTATAAAATTGGCTACATCATTACCGGTCACTTGACTCCACAGCCAATAGGGACGCCGGATTTTCACGGGCATGGTTTACAGGTGTAAGGGAACGCTTTACTTTCGAAAAATAACACAGAAATACACACATACTTGGGGGTTTGGAGATAGAAAACAAAAAACGCGATAGGCTTAGAGGAGAGAGCGGCGCAACTCCCAATCGCGCTCTCTGGAAGTAGCAGTTGAAAGGTGGCGATTCTCGTGTTTAGAGAGCTTTTAGCCCTTTCTATGAGGGTTCGAACAGAAATTGTATAAAATGCAGTCGAAAACGCGTTTTTTACGATTTCTGAAAATTTTCACTTTTAAATTTTACCCCATTTTGAGGGTCTCAAAAAAGTTCACATAGAATCATTTTGGGGGCTATATCTCGCGAAGGGTCGCTTGTAGAGGTGTGGTTCCTTTGACTTTTTTGTTCCTATGAGTATGCTTTAAAGCCCTGTTAAGATACCAAACGTCTCATTCGGAGCTTGAATTGTACCTTGAAATGAATACAAGTTTCATATTTCTAGCCCACGAGTGAGCATTAGTTCTAAATTATGCCGCTACGGCGAACACGCCAATGGCGGAACTCGATTTGTGGTATTTTCTGGTCATAGTTACAAATTATGGACGCTTTATTCGTATTTGTATTAGTTAAAAATGAAAATAAGTTAAATTTTTAGATTACTTATAAATGAATGAGGTTTTTTTTCATACGCGACGTCAGTCTTTTTGCTCGATCCGAAGAGTAAATAGCACGTTTATCGTACCGTCAACGTTGTCCAACTCATTGTACGAAATAAAATGGAATGTAGTGAGTGTGGTTTAAATTATAGTCATAGGCAAATTTTAAACAGTTCTATTTGTGATATACGGATACAATAGAACCTCGATTATCCGCCCCCCGATCAACCGACCCCTCGGTTAACCGACCGTCCTAGTCGGCAAATTTCAAATGTCCGCTAGTGATGTGGCGCTACAATATTTGGCTATGTCTTGGCTACTTTAATATTATTTTTACGTGTTTTAGCTGGCAACACTCATTCGACCATGAAAGGGAGCCAGTATTTAAACGAAGCTTAATTTTCTAATTTTTAACGATACAATAGCGACGATTATTATTTAAAAAAATTTTTGTTAGGCTTAACATCGATGAAAATTCAACGCAAAATAGGTTAATAGCGATATACTAATATACTAATATACTAATTACATGGATATAATAATATACTACACTAATAATGGATTTTTTCATACTTTTCGGTTATCCGACTTTTCAATTATCCGACCAACCCCAGTCCCCAATTAGGGCGAATAATCGAGGTTCTACTGTACAATACATGTGTTTTTTGTTTATAATTATAAATAATAAATGCTTTGTTCAAAATAAATTAAAGTTATGGATAGACATCGTGCTTAAAAATGAATTTTTTTCCATGAAAAATTAATACTATAAGATTATGAGATGGAATTATGAATGAAATAAAACTTAGAGAGACTTAAAATTTGATATTTTCCTACTGAGAGAAGTGCTATTATTATTATTATTTGAACATTTTGTAATAAGCCTAAAAAGATGTTATTGTTTGCATTAATTACAAATTCATTACTCACGTGACATACGCAACCATGATATCGTCTGGATAATATTACCCTGTATTTTGGACAGGACAGAGTTCAAAACTAAAATCTCCTTTTCACTCATTATAGGTGGGGGACGTAATGTTTGCCAGGGAAAACTATTTGGAATTTTATTTCCTTAATCAGTGCAACTTTAAAATTTAGTACATTTTTGAAATCAAACACAATCTCTAAAATAAGTATGTCTGGTCATTTTATCTATTTTGGAACTACTTTAAGCGTCGAGGGAAGCCTAACATAAAAACTAAAAACTTGTATGCACTAAATGAATTTTGGTCATTTTGTGGAGTATAAGCAATTTCTAAACGTTTATTATTTTCTAAACAAATTATTGATACAACATATTAAGTCCTCATTGTCCTTTAACTATTTCAATTTTACTAATAATTTCGATCAAAGCATTTATAATTTATAATTATTAACAGAAAACACAAGTATTGTACCGGTATATCACAAATCATACTCTTTAAACTTTGTCTTTGACTATATTTTAAACCACATCCACTACATTCCATTTTATTTAACGTATAACGAGTTCTACAACATTAACGGTACGATAAACAAATG